ATCATTTCTGTGCCCCTAGCCAAAGTACTAAATGCTTACTGGGGCTATTTCCCCTTGCCAGAAACACAAGGTCAATATGAATGTTTTGAAAAGCTTGTTCTGAGCATTCAGCAAGGGTTTTCTAAAGCTGTGAAAGAGAGATTTTCCCCCCTTTTTTGCACGGAGACACAGAAACTTTCTTTCAATACTTCAGTACTGAATGAACACAAGCAATAACACAGCGGCAGCAGTAGTTAAGTTAATGATGCTTTGGGCAGATACAAATTTGGTTTGCAGCATTCCATGTGACTAACGCAAAACGACAGCAAGAAAACCAAAAGCAAAAACCCACCCATATATAAAGGTGAAAGGGAAATGTAGTGGGCAGCAACGAACAGAGGTTAGGAAAGTTACATTTCTGGATTTCAATTCCCTGAATTCCCCTTGATCAAGCTGCCTTGGGGGTCCTGCAAGTTGTAGTCAAAGTTGCCGACTTTTTTTTTTTTAAAAAAGAGGGGGCCAGATGTCTGGTAGTGACTCCCACAATTTGGTGCATCAAGATCAAGCAACAAAAGCAAATACAAGAGATGTTTGTGGTGGTTTTTATGAAACATGCTTCACAACACATAGTTTTGAAACAAAGCATGATTTCTACACCCTAGCTAGCATTTCACCTAGACATTCAGAAAAGATAATAGTGAGCATACTGGTTAGTTATTTTACCATCTTTGAACTGCTATGCCAGGTCCTTTATTTTCAGAAGACCCCTGGACCTATCCCAAAGAGAACTTAAAATGAACTTTTTGAAATTTCCTCACTCAAGATCAGGGTGGATTTGATTTTTTTTTTAAAAAAATTTAAATTTAAATCATGATTTAAATTATCATTTTAATCAATATTAGTTTTTTTTTTTTAAGTACTTATTTTTATCCACCCTGCCCAAGATGTTCCTTTAAATCATCCTGCACTGGCAGCTCATTTGACCAACCAATCTTTTCCCAGATCTCTAGATGCAACACTTAGGAATGGTGGCTGAGTGATACAGGGCCTTATTCAAGCACTCATCAATTCCATCCATGGAAGGGAACAAGGACATCTCCTCTCAGAATGGTCTGAAGGGGAAACATGGTGGTGTACAGGTGGACACAGTTACATCGGTCAGGAACTCTGATAAGACAGGGTTTCTAATCATCCGGAGTAACTGCATTCAGCAAAGCAGTTACACTTTCTTTTCACATCTTTCCAGTAGATGCAGGAAGTAGCAGTAGGAAAGGTGGAGGTAACATTTACCTGCATTCCCACCCATTTAAATTGATGGTTGGGCCTCACTGCTTTGAGTGCATTTTGGTGCTGCTTTTGTTTACTGTCTTTTATCAGTTTGATTCTTTTCAGTATTTTTATACTTAGTTTTTTTAGCTTTAAATGTTGTCTTTTAATGATGCAAGCCGCCTTGGGTCCTTCTTAAGACGACAGGCAGGGTAAAAAATATTTTAAACAAACCAACAAACAAATCCTTTGGACTAGTTCACAAGTTTCCAAATTGGAATACTTTCAATTGGGATATTTTCACTTTGATCTGTAGGAAGGAGGGGAGGAGTCCGATCCTTTTCTCCCAATGCACTCAGCCTCCATGTATTCACACTTAACTGTCATGACAGAAAACATATTAGAACCTTCAAGGCCCTCTTTCCAGCTGTATTTGATTTAAAAATACAAAATCCTCTTTCCAGCTTCCTTCCCTAGCACTCTTTTTGGGACTGCTTCAGACACTTTTTATAAGGATTATGTCAGCTACTTCATTTAGCACACCAACAAATTAAAGTGCTCTTTTTCCAGTCCCACTTTGGATTTTGACCATAGACCCTGGATCCTGAATATGCTGAAGGAACAATGCTCTTGAGCAGGGAGTTCCTAATTTGAGAGTCAGCTTCACAAAACACAGCTTCTGAGTAACTGATGCCTAGGCCCTGCTACACAGTTGCAATTTTCCCCACATTTACCTGGAAGTTAGCATTATTAAACTGGGGAGGGGCAATAACTTTTGAGCAAACACGTATAAAATTACATTGTAGGAAGGCAAGACTCATGAATTCTGACATGGGTGAAAAAAGTTACTCAACAGTAAGGTGTGCATAGTTTTGGAGTTCAAATTCCTCTCTCTTTCACAACCAGCAATCCAGCTAGCAACTTAAAACCAGAATCCTGTTGCTATCATCAAGTAAAATTGTAGAGTGTACTTTTGTATGGGCTGATCACAGGTCATGTTTTATTGCACAGTCAGCTGTCCAACACGGAGCCCCAAAATTGCAAAAACTAAATTGCTTGCTTGCTCTTATATGTGTGGTGAAATCCAACTGGACTTCACACAAAATAATTACACTCCCATTAACTTGAATCCTATTTCAGAGTTATTTGTGCCTATTTTTATTTTTAAGTAACTTTCATTAACTGTTTGTGTTAATTTTAAACTACAATTTGAAATTTTTGTTTAAAAGGAAAGGTGGGGATGTATACAGGCTTCTACAAAATGGAAGACAGGATGCGGTGCTCAAAAGTTTGGAAATGGCTGACTTTTAACAACCTAACTTCATTCTTCTCAGGGTACTTCATTAAAATGTCTCTTGCTATTCTAAAATGTTTAAAGAAGCAAAAAAGGGGGGGGACCTATGGGGAAATATATACAGACCTTTTTTAAAAAACTGAAGCGTCAATTTCATAAAGATGACAACAAAGTGTCCTTTGCTACTATACTGAACATTAGCACCCAAGTGTGCAATTAATAACTATGTTGCTACACTATATGTTACAATCTTTACTACATCAACCAAGATAATTACACAGAGAATGTTATCATTCTATAGTATGTAGACATACAGTACTATAAATACTGACAATGGAGGATTTTCTAGCTCAGCTGTATGCTCAAGATGCTAATAGGAAGACATCATCATAATTATGTTCTGTCAAAACATTTCTTACTTATGGTGATAGGAATAAGACCCAGAATACCTGGGTTTCTATGTATAGAGTACTAAGAAGTGGTTTATCATTCCGTTTTTCTGGGGGCATACTAGAAAGAACTGTGAGTTTGCCCAAAGCTACACAGGCTGCCTCTTTGCCCAGGAGACAGAGTGGAGCAACACCTAAACTTCTGGCTCTGCAGCCAGATACCCAACCCCAGGAGACAGAGTGGAGCAACACCTAACTGCAGCCAGATACCCAACTCACTGAGCTATCCAGCCAAGAATATGTACTATAACCTTTATTAAAGTACTACATTGCTGTGTTTATTTCCCTTTTCCGACAGTTTTCTTTTTACAAGGCATGAATTCCCCACAACAAAAATTGTTTATTTTTTGCTACTATGTCGCAGTGCAGACTAATTCATTACAACAAGGGGAACACTGCCCCAACTCCGCCTATCCTAAGCCAAGTCACTGTTGCCTGCCTTCTTATCACAGACAAAGGCTCAGGAGGCCCTCATCTGTTTGCCTCTTGCTAAACTCCCAGCTTCACACTGTGCGCGTGTGAGAAAGAGACAAAGAGTAAGACAAGGAATAAGAGAAAAGAAGCAGCAGATAGGAAACTTTCTAATTTGGGGGCAAAGTGTATTTTTCTGCTTTTCAGTTGAATTGTAGGGTGAATAAACGAGGTGGAGAGAAGGAGCATTTGAGTGAGAAACCACCTGTCTCTATAAGTCTGTTACCACAGTTCCACTCACCATTGGCTGCTGTACCTTCCGCCTCTCCAACATGCTAATACATTGAATTCTCCAGTGATGTTATTCACCTGTTGCATAGATCTATGAAACTACATTTATATTATGCTATGCTTCACTGCAAAATGGCTAAAACTCTTCCTTACAAATGCAATACAGAAATAAATTATTATCAGTCTCATATACAGGTCCCCTTTGGAGAGAAAGGTGGGACAGAAATATTTTAAATGACGATGATGATGTAAAAAAAGAGTAAAATGTGTAAGGCTCCTGAATTTTACTTTTTTAAATATCATAGCAACTCAAGCTGGATCGGTGATCCCTTTTCCATCTTGAATTTTTTAACAGCCCCCTTATTGCCATCAATACACAAGGATTCCAGGTAAATCCATTCAAATCCAGAATAATGCTTCACTACTTGGATATCTGAACAAAGCTGAATCCTGGGACCTCATCAGACGTGAAATACCAGACATTCCCACTTGAAATTCAGGCTTCAGCAAATTTTCCTGGCAAACACTCAAGCATATCAAACACCATTTTGTGTGTTTTTTTAAAAAATAGCTGAACCATCTTTCTTTAGTGAAAAAATAAAGAGTTCATTCCTGATCTCTGTGTGAATTGGGCTTTACGTTTTGATTGCATCTGAGACTATATATCTACATATGCTTAGGAACATATTCAGTATTATTCTCCATACTTGCATGCTAAGACTTCAAGAAAGCAGTTAGAAAACAAAGAGAGAAGCACAGTCTTTATAACAACTGAATGTTTAAATGAGGTACAGGTCAAGCTCTCAAATCTACATTACAAGATAGATATTTGCACCCAGTTTCTAGCCCCTGCATGTATTTCAAGTAAGTGGAATAAAAATATAATGCACTCTTCTTGAAGATACCAAGTTTTCACATTCACAAAGTTATAATATAATTATATAATTCATAGCAACTTCCCTTTGTAGTTTTCACCAACACCAAACTTACTAGTGTTTAGGCATTTTCTGTGGAGGCTTGAGGTCTTCAGCTCATGTCAAGCCAATTTAATTGGAACAGACAGAATTCATACACACAAAAGGCCCTGTAATTTGGGGGTTGGGGTAGCAGCTTAGCAGAGAAAGAAGGATGAGCAAAATATATATACACATGGAAATAAGTAACTATGAAAATCACTTCTTCAGTCTATAGATAAATGACAAACTTGTACAAAATCCTCTTTGAACGTAAATCTAGCATTCCTATATTTCACCTTCTGAGATTCCTGAATTCCCTTGAGCAAGAATTTCTTAGATCCAGGGATATCTTACCTGCTTTGCAAGTCTTGCCATCTTCTTGAAGCTGGACTCCAGTAGGACAGTTACAACTGTAAAAAGGGTCTCTTGGAGACAACAGGCACAAATGTGAGCAGCCCCCATTATTATCCTCACAGGGTGTATGAACAAGAAGAAAAGGGGGGGGGGGGGGGGAGAGAGAGAGAGAGAAAAGCATTTTACATTCATATTAACTACATAATTCTCCAAAGTATAATAAAGCATTTTATTCCCTCCTTTTCCAATGAGTCTAGGCAGAAATCCTACTGTGCACTATCCTGAAAATTTAAATAATGGTATAGGTCTAATTGTTACACATACCTGTAAACAATACATTGTATAGAACATCTTATGTTTCTCACAAATCCAAATATTTTTATTACATTCATATTAACTACATAATTCTCCAAAGTATAATAAAGCATTTTATTCCCTCCTTTTCCAATGAGTCTAGGCAGAAATCCTACTGTGCACTATCCTGAAAATTTAAATAATGGTATAGGTCTAATTGTTACACATACCTGTAAACAATACATTGTATAGAACATCTTATGTTTCTCACAAATCCAAATATTTTTATAAAAAGAAGGGCAGACATGTAATGCTTACACCATTCTTTACAGCAGTGGTTCCCAACCTGTGGTTCTTGGACTGCAACTCCCAGAAACCCTGGCCAGTTCAACTAGTGATAAAGGCTTCTGGGAATTGCTGTCCAAGAACACCTGGGTAACCCAAATTTGGGAACCGCTGCTTTAGAGGAAACTAATACAATGCATGGATACACAGTTTTCCAATAAAAGTTTCTTTGTTTATTCATTTCACTTATCTACTATCTTTCCTCCAATGAGCTCAATATGGTATACATGACTCCCCTCCAAGCTCTGTATTTACAACAACCCTGTGAGACATATCAGGCTGAGAGAGACAAAATAAAAAATTACTTAGTGAGCTTCATGCCTTGGTGATGACATAAACTGTATTATTATTATTATTATTATTATTATTATTATTATTATTATTATTATTATTATTATTATTATTATTATTATTATTATTATTATTATTATTAACTGTCTTATACCACCACAGTAACCTATTACAACTCCCTGCACAAGTTGCTTGAACCCCATTCTACAAGATCCAAGATCTATCAATACTTCCCATGCCTACCAATATCATGGCCTTATACGTATCTGACATCTCGTGTGGTCCAGTGGTTAAAATGTTCAGCCGGAGCTTGGGAGATCAGGTTATTGACTCTACTGATCAAAGTGAAACTTATTGGGCAACCTCATAGACTGTCTCTCTCTCAGCCTGACCTAACTCAAAGGCTTCTTGTTGCAAAAATAAAAACACAGATCTCGGCTTAAGCCTTTAAGAGTTTTTTTTAAAAAAAGCACTGCTAGATTGCCATCACTGGGATCAGGACCGCTGGTGTCAATCCGGTGGTGATTTTTTACTATTAAAGGCTCCCCCCATCCCTGCCAAATTCTGAAACTCGCAAAGGCCTCCCCAGGACAAAAGGGAGCCTAAGAATCTACAGGGGTTTCTGTTGAGTTAATATAAAGATTGCAATTCATTTCAATTAATTATTTCCAATGCCCTAAACCAGTTTATGTTTGCATAACTACACAAAAAGGATTTTGGTCAATATCTCACACTCACACCTGAGCAATTTAAATGTGATTTGGTTGTGTGATTCAACACTGCTCTCCCCCTCTTCCACAACTGGTTGGCTTATGGCTTCTGAAACGCCATTAATAATATAGAAAGGGGATGATAACTCAGAAGCGCCAAGCAAACTAGCAGTTAATATTCCTTGAACTCCTTCTGCTCTTGTACATAGGCCATACTCAGACCAGCAATATTCAAGAACAGCTTGGGGAGAAATGGAATCCAAATCCAATCCCAGGAAAGAGACAGCGGTATCTGAGCTATTTCTAGCAGATAGTATTTCCCTATGCACCAGGTTTTCCTTGTTGCTGTCCAGAAATACTATGACCCAAGGGTGGGACATTCCCTCAGCTGAGAGAAATGTCAGGAATCCAGAAAGCACCACACAACCCCATCTGGAACGCAAGGACAAACTAGCAGTGCACATACCCAATGCCTTCTACTGAAGCATTGCACCTGTTTCTCAGCTGCAACAGACACTAAATTCCTTTGTTTACTCCATGACTGTTTACAGTCAACCTAAAGTATATGTTCAAAGTACTGTACAGGTAGCAGAACATATAGAGACCAAAACATTTAGATTTGTTCTATGTTATTGTCTGTACAGTACTTGTCAGTTTATTATGCACCTTTCCAACATTTAAAATCCACAACCGTTTCTAGAAGAATGCAAAGGACATGGAGAGAGAGAGCGAATACTAGGTTGTATTAACTGCTCTAGCTCCACCCACATGAAATAAGAGAAGTATGAGAACGCAAAGGACATGGAGAGAGAGGGTGAATACTAGGTTGTATTAACTGCTCTAGCCTTAAAAAAAAGTTGCAAGCTCCACCCACATGAAATAAGAGAAGTATTCTCTATATATCACTAGGGTTGTTTTTTTCTGTTGCAAAGAATCTCAATGGTCATTTTGATGCTAAAACATGATGCACACAATTAGGCAGGGTAAACAAAGTAATTCCTTGGAAATGCTCACCGAAAATGACTTTTAATAATCATTGAGGTACTACTCTGAATTCGAAGCAATAGGTACTATGTGAAAGTTTGTTCCCATGAGCAGGCAAAAGGACTTGGAGATCTATCTCTTCATTCAGAAGAGATTTCTTTGGCTTTCCTTCCTAGCACAACTATTCACATGCACCAGGAATCAGATGCACCAGCAGTTGGTGACGACCAAGCTAAAGGTTTGGAAATTAACCAAATGTTCTGCTCTAATATTTTGTTCAGAAGTCCATAGCATCAAAGCAATGATTACTGACCAAATTTTTAAAAGTAAATTGTGAACTGTAAGAATATGGAATCCAAGTTTCCCATTTCTACATTATTATTCGAATACAAAGCTATGGCTTCTCCGGCCTTTGTGACGTCACAGCAGCCAAAACAATGAGAGCTAGGAAAATGCAGCACTTGCACCTGCAAAACTATGTAAATAGAAAGAGATCATAAAAATATAGGAAACATACAATATGGCTGTCTTTCAGGACTCAAAACCTGGATGTCCATTGGTGAGTACAGTGAACTTAATATTTCCCTCCTTTTCTCTCCTGTCCTTTTGTTGCAGGCATGAATGGAGCGAGTTTGCCAGTCTGTCCAGTACAAGGTATCTCCAGCCAGTGTCAGGGCAAATGGGTGAGTTAGGCTACCCTCCACAACTTTTTCCCTAGATGTATGAGAAAGAAAGTGTTTTTAAGGGTGACTTCATATACAAAACTTTTATGGCAATCATAAAGCCTCAATCCACTGAATCACCTGAGAGAGCCAAACGCATGCGATCACAGACAATTTTAACATCTTTCTTATAACCATTTCCCTTATTTCAGCTTGTTCTTGATGGTATTATATGGCATTGATTAGTTCTGGATTGATGTGTTTTGAGAATGAACAGTTCCACAGAAGTAGACAACCCACATTAGAGATCTTCCTCATTTTTACACAGCTGGCTCCCTCCCTCAAATTAACAATATGCTCTCCAAACCATTGTCCTCAAGCTATTTCTGCCCTTATTTCTTCAGACTACCTTTCTTGGCTTTTGTATCACATAGTTTGCAGATTCCACATGATACAAATATCGATATAGGCTAGCCTCACTGTACTGTGACACACCCTTCATGGGATAGATTTCAGCCCACCTTCTTTTCCCACCTTCACCTTTTACTTAGGAGGTGAGATGGCTCTAGAGTATGGCCCATCTTCCTCTTGACCATTGCCCATGAAGGGATACCATCAGCTATTTTCTGTTTTTGTTTTAAGCAATATTTTCCACTAAGTACTCACAGAGTTCTGTAGCACTGATCTACACATTTTCCCTACTAAATTTTTATTGTGCAGCTTTGGAAGCTTACATAGTGAAAAATATCATTATGTTAAATGGCTGATTAGGCAGCTTTGCAGTCCCACAAGCAAAACAGCAGCAGTTTTGAGAAGAAGGCACCAGGAGTTTCCTCAGCTTTCCCACCCCCACCCCCCTTTCCAAGGGCTACCCTTCCTCACATTGTTTCCCTGCCTAGGCAAATGAATAAATAGAGAGTGGAATGAGTGCTGCTTCCCTGCACTCTCGTTTCCTTTGAAGAAAATTAAGTTTAGACTCTCTTCTCAAGCCTTCCCACCAATCCTTCCTCTTTGATTCATTTCCTATGCCTTGCTTCAAAAAAAAATCTGACTGATTACACTATACATTGGGGGGGTATGGCAACCCCCCCCCCAAAGGCTGGTTTTTGCAGCCCCTGCCCTTTGGACCCATGCTACAAAACAAGCATAAAAGTGCATTGTCATTCCTGGAATTCTCCAGGAGCTGTGAGTCATCATAAATATAGGTCATATCACTTAACGCCAAAAAAATATGGATTTCTAAAATGTAGACTTCCAGTTTCTTTCTTTTTGAGTTTTGGCATTTTTGGCACTCTGTGTAGCCCCCCGCCCAGAGGATCCAGGGGCCAGAAAGTTAACCCCATAGGCCTGCCAGAATTTCCTGCCCTGCTATACATGCTGAATTAGAACTAAATTACATTGACTTCAATAGATTCTATCCTTGGTAAGCTGCAATGGAGGGCTCCAAGCAGAGCAAGGAGAAACAGGGACCCTTCTGTTCAAGAGGCTGAAGAAAGCTTTTGGGTGAAGAGGGACAGGGGAACCCCAGTTGGACTTCAAACTGTTTTTTTTTTCCAACCAAAACCCTTTCCTTCAATTAATGTTTTTTAAACCAAAGCCCTTTCCTTCAATTAATGTGGACCTTCACTGATGTTTATGCATTAAACAATTTTTGGGGGACATGGGGGCACATATTCATGTCACTAAATGGCATAATTCCACTCAAGTGACTTTTCAAAATCCTCCCCTAAAATTAAAATGCTATGCATCAGCATGTGGCACTTGATCACCCTATCAACACAGTGCATACATGTGTCCACCAAACAGCAATTGCATTTGAAGGGAAAATACCAGGACTCTTCTCAAACGAAAGGAGCCTCCAGTATAAATCTCATCAAAGAAGCAGCTACAGCAGGTTTAATGCACTGTGCAAAATCTAAATCAGTGTAAAATGCCATCAAGGAAGAGCCAGTTCACAATGGCACTATTTGTAGGGCTGAGGATTCATTCTTTAAAATTTTATTTATTTATTTCATTCATTCATTCATTCAATTATTTATTTATTTATTTATCCATCCCGCCTATCTGGTTGGTTAAGACCACTCTAGGCAGCTACCTGGGTTTCCATGGTAAGCGCCACGTCCAGATGTACCCCCAAGCTGCGAACCTCGCTCTTTGCGGTGAGGGTCAACCCCCCAAAAGAAAGGGAGTCACGCAAACCGCTGATGGAAGGACCACCCACCCTCAAGACCTCTGTCTTGTCCGGGTTCAGCCTCAACCCATTCGACTGCAACCATTCCAGTACAGTCTCCAAACAGCACTGAAGGGACGGAACGGCATCCACTGAAGAAGGTGAAAAAGAGATGTAGAGCTGTGTGTCATCAGCATACCGATGATACGATGCCCCACACCCTCTGATGACCCCACTCAGCAGCCTCATGTAGATGTTGAACAGCATTGGAGAGATTATCGACCCCTACGGAACACCACAATTGAGGCTCCATGGAGTCGAAACATTCTCGCCAAGCTGTACTCTCTGGGGATGGTCCTCCAAGAAGGATCAGAGCCAGGCAAGCGGCAGGCCACCGATTCCCAACTCAGAGAGCCTCCCCAGGAGGATACTGTGGTCGACGGTATCAAAGGCAGCTGAGATGTCAAGGAGGACCAACAAGGACATATTCCCCCTATCGGCCTCCCTCAACAGGTCATCCAGCAGTGTGACCAGTGCTGTTTCCGTACCATAGAGCTGCTTGAAATTTATTGAGCAAGGGTGGAAGGGAGAAAACACACATACGCACACTTACCTGAAAGAGCCATCTAGATTTGCTCGGTGAATGAAACTCAGCTTTGCATCTGCCCAATAAAGCTTTTGTTCCTCAAGATCTATGGTGAGTCCATTAGGCCAATAAATGTCAGAATCTACAATTATTTTCCGAACACTGCTGTCCATTCCAGCACGTTCTATCCTAGGTGTCTCCCCCCAGTCTGTCCAATACATGTATCTGGAAATTAAAAATACAAATGTTACAATGAAAGAATGGAACCCTTTCTAAATTTAACAAGCAAACCCTGACATCATAAAATCAACATTAATCTCAATGTAAGTATTCTTTTCTCTACTTATCAGGTTGTTTGGGCAGTGTGCTAGACTTTGCATCTAAAAAATGTTACAGCTTAATTGATCAGAAGGAAAACCACGTTGCTTTCTTATGTTCTGGAGCTGAAAACTGTTTCCTACTTTTTTCAATACTGTGAATTTGCACAAAAGCTCTCTCAGGCTGACAGACCCTTTAGGGTAGGGGTGACAAACCTTTGAAACTTCAGATGTTTTGTACAATGACTCCCAGAATCCCCTGGGTGTATTGCCAATGATGGATTACTGTGAGGGTTGTACAGGTAGTCGAAAACATCTGGATGGATCAGCATCCCTGCTTTAAGGACTATATTAATACATTAATACTGATTAAATAAAGAATAAATTATCACTTGTAAAATTCAGTCTTTCAACCTACAAGCTTACTATCAACAGAATAGGGTAAGATAGTTAGGCATGTCATTGAAATAAAACTTCCAATTACATTTTCTTAATAGCAAAGTGAAATAACAACTTATTATCAACTTATTATTCCTTTTGTTCTACGACTGACTTTTTATCTGTCCAATACCAAAGTTTTTAAATCTGTGTAACTGTAAATTAAAAAACATATTTTTTAAAAAGTGCTAAGAACCGTACAAAACAAAAACAAGAAAAAACTACACCATTAGGTGAAATCAGTGCAGCGCATAAAATGAAAATAAACAAATGGGGGAAAACAGTGCAAAGACCTAAAATCAATGCATTTATACAGAGATTTACATCCCACCTTTCCTCCAGTGAGTTTAAGGCAGCACGCCTAGCTTCTTTCCCAACTTTATTTGCACAATGCCTCTGTGAAGTACGTAAATCAAATTGACACGGTGGAGGTGGGGAGAAGGTCAAAAGACTGGCCGGAAGTTCATGCAGTGAACTTCATGACTCAATGCCAATCTAAACCTATAGCTCCTTATTTCCAGTTCAACACTCTACCTGCAACAGCACACTGACTCTCTGAAAGCTCTAAAATATAAAAGCCAGGTGAGACTTAGCATGGTATTCACAGATGGGTTCACAGTTGGGTTCAGGCCATTTCTTTTATAGCCACCCGCCTTTCCTTCCATTGGGCACCTGGAAGAGGGACCCTTGGACGATTTTTCTTTATTTGGCCCTAAACCATTTCAGTCTTCGAAAATTAAAACTAGCCCTTTGAATTGGGCCCAGAGATGGACTGGCAGCCAGCACACATGGCAAAGCAATGCTAGAGTGTGATCGTACTTGCAATCAATGTTTGGCCACTTAACTATAAAATCTACAAAAACAAATTGCAAATAATGCTAAAGCACTGACTAAACAGTCTTGTATGCATCAAAGAAAGAGATGTAAGAAATTATGAGTTGCACATACTAGTGCTTATGCATTAGATTTCATACCTGATTACATGGCAGTGAATTTCCTAGGCATCTTGTTTTCATTACTATCACAACTATGCTATATATTAACTCTTGTCATATATTAACAATAAATGCACTAGAAGTATAAAAACACTGAGGTCAATTTCATGCCTTCTCTCCTAAAGCTGAGATTCTACAATTAAGTAACAGGAAACAGTAGAAACTCATTTTATCATTCATATTTACAGATTTAAAAATTTCAATAAATAGGAACTCTGTTCCACAGGAAGAATTTTTCATCCATCAGCTGCCTCTCTCCAGGTCCTTTTTTGATCCAGTGGAGATTTGCACCAGTGGAAGAAGAAAGAAAGCAACTTATGGGGGTTCCCCCCTTTTACGAAGCCATCCTGTATCACTCACAATGTCTTTCAACCTTTGACAGGAGGCCATTTCATTGGTCTAAATCACTAGTTACAAGCAGAGGAGACCCACTGAATTAAATGGTAAATGGGGAGTCGATACTTATACAAATTCCATCAGCTCAATGGGTCTACTTTAGTTGGGACCACCATCAAACTGAATGATCACAACATACAGGACTCTTCCAGTCTACAGGATGAATACAGAATTGGGAGGGGGGGTAGGAAAACCTCAATCACATCCCAAAATTAAGCACATGAAAAAGTAGAGAACCAACACCCAGAAGAACAAAAAAGATTCCTAGGCAGACCAACAATTGGAAGAGTGCCTTGTAACTGTGCAATGTAAGGTCTTATACAATATCTTGCTAAACTGGGAGTTTCACAAATAGTACACCGTATATGGAATCACTGTGAAGACACATGGATATAAAGTACCCAAAATCGAAAGCAAGAGTGGTATATCTTTCATAACCATGTACAATGAAGAAAAAAGGGGCATGCATTTTGCAGGGGATACAGGTGATCACAGTGGTCACAAGCACCCCATATTTGAGACGGATAACCTCTACTTTATTCCCTATTTATTGAGCTGATAAACTTGAATAAAGTCTAATAATGAGCAACAATAATTGGGTTTTTTTGTCCATTTTATACAAAAGCCATGGTACCCCAAGACAGGGACCATACACTTTGTGTACAAGAGTAAGCCAGTTTAAAAAAAAAAAATTAAGCAGTTTATGGCTATTGAGAAACTGAGCTTTTTATTACAATCGCCCAAATTACTCATAATAAACATAGTTGCAATATTTGTTTTTAGAGCCTCTATATGTAGATACAAGTACTGGACTTGGAAAATATCTGTTTGTAATTGTACTAATATAATGTATTTACTATGGTCTCTGGATTAAGCAATAAAGATTCTCTCTTGTCGGTCTAGACTATTGAGATGAAATAAGTAAGAATACAGTTAAATAGCAATGTTTACATAACAGCAAAAATCAACTGAAAAGTGTGTGGGATGAGCGTTTTGTCAAATAACCAAACATTGTTCAGGTTTTGTGAAGACCACATAGAATATGTATTAAAATATTATACTAACTGTTGGCACACTGACACTGACAAAATCAGCTGGAAATGCTACCCAGACTGTATTGTTTAAAAAGTCCCACAAAGGGATGCTAGGTAAACAGGCCACAATGTTCCTTGTTAAGGTCAAGCATTCCTAAAGTGAACATGAAAACCAAAATAAAGCACCCTCTATGCCTTGACAGCATGTATCTTTCCCTAAAATGGTACTCTCCAGAGATACTGTACTACAGCTTCCACTGTCTCCAGCCAAAGGGGGGAAAGGAGTGAGAGTCCAACACATCTGGAGGGTAGCAGGTTATGGAAGGTTGTCATACATAATTTATGCAGCTGTTGATATTCCCAAAGTGGCAGGGGAAGAATAATAGTTTACAGCAGAAGAACTGACAAAATAAATACTGTAAACTGGAAAGCAACGTTACAAAAGTAGAACTGAACCATGCAATATTTAAGTAAGCCCAAACAACCCTGTAAAGCAATTTCGCTGAAAACAAAGAAACATCATAGTATTCTGAAAGGCTGACATGCTCACAGATTTACTTAAGTAATGAGGAAAAAATTATGAAACTAACAACTATTGCCAGAGAAAAGTGGGAGAGGAAAGGAAGTATGCAATACAGAGTTTATCTAGAAACCTGAAATGCATGAGGCCACAGCAAAGAAACCTTTCTACCTCGAATAAAAGAGGCAGAAATGTTTGACAAGAGGAGCCCCACACAACTGACAATGCAATTACCGTAGCTATAATTTAAAATAGGGTCTTAATTTAAAAAGAGAATTTAGATGTTGCATAAACATTTTTAAAATAAAATTTGATTTTTCATAAGTACTCAAAAATTGTGGCTGAAGCTTGAATTACAGTACTTTTAACATAAGCACTTAAAATTAAACGTATGCCTCCTATTTAAATGATGAAAGGGATCTATATGACAGAAAACATGTATGTCCATGGTTTGAAAACTCAAAGCAGAGGTTACTAAAGGTAAACCTGAACTGAGGCAAAGAAACCAGAAAGCAGTTTATGTTAATAACTAGCTTTTATATAAGAAACTGGAACTTCCAAAAATGCTGCTCACCTCATTAATCTATCTTCATGAAACAGCCTGGCACATCAGATCTCATTAGCTCATATATAAAAGAGAAAAGTGGGGAAGAGGTAGAACTAGCTAAAGAACTGGAACTGCGGGCCAAGAATCAGGGGAATTCTGACTACCCTTGGCACTTTCACTCTAGCAGGAGCAGTTATGCGAGCTAAGAGCCATTATAATGCTGTTTTTCTTAAAGATGAAAATTTTCCAGTATTCCGTCAGAATGAGTAAATGGGTTGTCCACTTACACAAGATATTGGTGGACTTAGATTCTCTAGCTGTCCCACACTGCCCCCACAATCCCTCCTAAACACCCAAATGCATTCCATCAGTAAGTATGTAGCCATGTCTCTTTAGTGTAGGTGTGGGAAACTCTGTAGTAAATCCAACCCAGGCTCTTGCCCATTGCCCCCTAGGAACTCTAGGGGGGTTCCTCAAGCCTCCAGAACAGATTTTTGGGCTGCACGAAGAGCTGTGGGGGGATTCATCGCCTCCTAAAGTTACTCACAAATGTTGCTTCCATAAGTGGAAGTATCTCATTAGATCTACATCCACATGTGAAAGCAGTCTCAATACTATTACAGTCCACATTTGGATAAAGTAGCACCATAAATCCAAATATTAGAATACTAAGAAACAAAATTAGAATCGCCTAACAGACCCAAATGGTTCCAAATTCCAGCTACCGTTAATAACAATCTGTCTCCCATTCACCAAATGCATAAATGTTAGAATTTTTTAAAAAGTTCAGATAGATGATAGTATTATTTATTTATTTATTTATTTATTTATTTATTCATTCATTCATTCATTCATTCATTCATTCATTCATTCATTCATTCATTCGATTTCTACCCCACCCATCTAGACCAATGGTCTACTCTGGGCAGCAAGTACATCTAGAAATGACACGACCACAAAATCTTCATACTAGAGCTG